CAGGGATGCCGTCTGGGACCCGGTTTCTGCTCCACCATCCTCATAGTCACAAAACAGCTGCTCCGCCCCAGCCATCGTGCACAAGTTCAAGGCAAGAAGAAGACACAGAGCAAAGGGCAGAAGGCACGGCCAGCTCAGTCTGTTCCTTTCTTATCAGGAATAATAATAATAATAAAAAAGCCCCAACTTTCCCAGGAGCCTAACGTAACAGACTGACCTGCTTAGATACCAGTGACCAGAAAGAGGTCACATTGCCTCTCGGCCTTAGGGAGTCTAGGGCGGATGTCCTAAAGCAGGGCAGGCTGCCAGCCAAGCGCACGGGCACAGGGAGGTCTGCTCTCGAGGAGGGGGAGAGCGGACGGACAAGTCGCAGCGTCCGGCAGTGGCAGGCGGGCGTGGGCGGCTCATCACTAGTGCCCTCTGCCCGAACATCGCGGCAGCTGCCGCTCTGCTGCGAGTTAACCAAAGGGCTCGGACACACGGCCGGGGGCGGCGTTCTCCGGCTCATCCACTACCTCCTCTGACTAGGACTGACGGCCAGCCGCCTCACGCGGCACGGCGTATGCTATGCGGGGAGACGGGCCGGTGTCTACCACGCCCTGCCCCGGCAGAGTCCCCCCGTCCGCACAGAAGTGGCCGCGCCGAGCTGCACGGGCAGAGAGGCTACATCCAACATACGTGTAAGGACAAGGTGACGTACCCCCGGCCACGCCCACTGCAGTTTGACGGACTCTCAGGTGTTGGCTGCGGACACCCGCATGTGAGCTCCCTGCAACCAGGCCTCCCGCCAGCAGCCTCCGCATGCAAGGGAGCCGTGCGTTCACTCGGCAATTCCCCGTCTGCTCTGCTCCAGGTGCCGTGCTGGGCGCCCGGGAAGGGCAGACGCTAGTGCCGCCTACTCAGCATCCACTCCTCCTCCCTCCTGCCCCAAACAGAGTCCCAGCTCTGTGCTAGGTGAGCAGTTTGCTCCCCTGGCAGGTGATGGATTATAACGGGTCTGCCTCAAACATGACAATGCAAGACTCTGCTTTCCCGCTCGCCCCACAGCTGGGAGTGCCACGTGACCTAGTTCTAGCCAACACGGACTTCTGCAGGCATTCGGAGGAGAAAGTGCTTGCTTTCTCCATACGAGGAAGAGATGCAGGCGGTGCCACTATGACCTCCTTCTCCGTGCTCTGAACTCAGATGCAACACCTGGAACCACAGCGGCCAGTTTGTAACGATAAGGCAATAAATGGCAAACTAAGGATGGTAGAACGGTGAAAGAAGATGAGGCAGGCCTATGACAGAGCCACAGATGTGGCTGTAGCCCTTGACGATCTATCTCCACATTCATTGTTACGTGAGAACAATTAGCCACCATTTATTTAAAATTCTGACAGCTGGGTTTAATCCTGTTGGCCAAGAATATCCTGAAACAATGTAAAGGGTAAACGAGGATGACAGCATTCCTGTCCTCGTGAACCTGACAGTTTAAAGCAGGGGTCCCCAAACTTTTTAAACAGGGGGCCAGTTCACTGTCCCTCAGACCGTTGGAGAGTGCGCTCTGTGGGCCTGGGATGAGTCGGCTGCTAAGCAGGACAGGCAGCGGCGGCAAAAACACCCGGAGGGCCGGGTTACATGTGCTAGGCGGCCCGCATGTGGCCCACGGGCCGCAGTTTGAGGACACCTGGTTTAAAGGAGGAGATGATTGACCATATGAGACCAATTCTCTGATAAGCGAGTCGGGGTGTGGTGAGCGGGTGCAAGAGCTGGTCCTACGCCACTTGGGGATGGGGAGAAGGCAGGCTGCGCTCAGGGAGTCTCATTAAACTAAGTCATTAGAAACAGGGCTCCTCTTTTCCATATTTTCTGAACACACAGTGTACCCACTTTCTCAGACGATGCCAAGACCCGCCCCCGCAAACCCTTCTACTCACCTGTACCCCTTCCCCCAAGATCGGGGAGATAGGACCCACGAGCCATGAGTTCCCACCACGCCTCCTCTAACCGTCTCTCCCTTGTGAGTGTTTGCCTCGAAGCTGGTCTGGGTCCGCCCAGAGCTCTGCCGGGCACGCAGGAGAGAGAGCAATGCAGGTCACTGCGCCCGGCTGCGGCTTCCGGGCGGGCTGACCGTTAATTATTAACAAAGCAGAGAAAAAGACACCGGGTTAGCAATTGCCCCGGACTAAACTACAGCTTAGAGAACATTCCGTTTCAGCCTACGGAAAACGGCTTAACCATCCGATCTTAGATATTACCATGCATCAGTGATCATGGCCGTAAGTGAATTATCCTAAAAACAAAACGACAGCGCAAAGTATATGAAATTACGTACAGATTCTTGCCAGCAAAAGCGCAGGCAGGAAACCCAAGGCAGAGGGGATCCAGAAACGCTACAAATCAGCCCCGCAAACACCCGCGTTGCCATACTTTCCGCAAGAGGTTCCCAATTCATAGTATTTGCTACCCTATTGGGGGAAACTATTTTAAGCCTAATTAGCGTGAAATTTTTAGAATGCAAATGCTTTTCATTTAGACATAAAACAAAATGCCACGACATTTCTTCCATCCATTTATCATAAACAAGTTAATTACTGTGTAACAAATCGCTCCTGCTGGAATCTGTGTGTGCGGGGCTTCTGGTGAGCTGACTCAGGCGGCGAGAAGGAACCACAAAGTAGTCGTTAATAGCTGATGGCGCACTTAGAATAAAATGGGGACACTCTGAAGCTTTGCTTGTCAAATTAAGGTTAAGCTCTCTCCGTTGGAACAACTCAATTATAAGTAGTCATTATCTATTTAGCTCGATCCCTACCAGACTAGCAGAAACACCACGCTTCTTACATACGACACACGCATCCTCTCCGCGGGCCTGTAGTTGCAAAGTCTTCTACACACGCAGGGAAACTGGTATGTGTCCCGGCTTGGGTGTGTGTCAGCTTTTGCCTCTCTATGTGAAAAGTGATTCGTGAGACGTAAGACCATCTCTTTGCTCCCGAGACGCTACACCTTGAGAAGAGCAGCAAGGGGGAGAAAGCAGGGAGAAGGTGGCCCGTGCGGGTGTGGGGAAGCAATGCAACTACTGCGCACCCCGGGGAGGGGACAGAGGACCCAGGAGGCCCGGATGCTCAGGAGAGGCTCTGCGGCTCTTCTCTGAACCAGGCTCTGGCTGGCGCATCTCCCGTGGGGGGGAGTGGCCGCGTGGAAAACGAGGCGCGCATACACAGAGTCCATGAGCCCGTCCGGGTTCGCCTAGGACCACGTGACTTTTCGTCCCCTACCGTCCCCTACCAGGTGAATGCCATCTGGGCACAGCAGCCAGGCCGACATCTGGCCAGGGGTCTAGCCTGCTCCGCCGCGCCAGCCCGGAGCAGAGCGCGGGCCGGCCTGGGCCCGAGGCGGAGGCTGAGATGCCGGTGCAGCCGGTGAGGATGGAGGAGACACAGTTGTTGGAAACCTCACGTTGTATTGTAAAAAGTATGAGCATTTGTCACTCTCTTCTACAGTGGGCGGTTCTTGCTATTAATAAAAGAGAGGCTTTTTTTTTTTTTCTTAAGTCCTTGAGTAAAACAGATACGCCAAGATCTTATCACGTTGAGCCACACACTCAGGGAGGCTTACGGGTGCCAGTTTCAGCACAGCTGAGGCGCCCGGGACGTGTGGACAGTGGGCTGCAGGCAGGGCCCCACGAGCCACATGGGACAGACAGGGTCACGCGTGGAGAGCAGGGGAGTCCCCGGGGCCTTCTCTGCAGATCCTCGGGGATTCTCAGTAACCCAGAGGGTCGTGAAGATGGTCTTCCCGTTCTAACGCCAAAATGACACACACACAATTAATGGAACAGCTCTAGAAAACTCTTTATCACGTATGCCTGTTTAGACCGTGTACCCATTCTGCTCCTAGGCCAACAGCCTGGAGATCTGTTTATTTTTTTTTTTGGTGATCAATGAGTGAGTCAATAGTATCACAATTCAGAAACCAAGAAATAAGTATTTTGGATTTGGTGCAAAATAAAAATCCTGATTCACACAGCCAGGAATAAGCAAGGTAAGCCAACACTCTCTACCTTGAAAGGTAAGGATCTAAAAAAGGACCTGTGTGTGGGACAGAGAACACCCGTGCCTGCACACACGGGGCCCGAGTCGGGTCTTGAGGGAAAATTCTATGCTCCCTGGAACACAAAACTGGCAGGGAAGTCACCAGTCTGAGGATATTTGGTGTCGGGTGTGAAATTTAGCTTTGCTGCTTTATGGAAGGTTTGCTTTCTCCGTCATTTTGAAATCAAAGGCTGCCACTTCTGGGAAACTCTCGCCAAGAGGGAAAGCCCACAGCCAAGGTGTGCACGGGGCAGCGTGGAAACCGCGGGAAGGAAGAGCTGATTGACACCCCACCCCCACCCCCCGTGCGGATGAAAAGTCAGTTAGTCTGTCTTGAAAGGGGAACGTATTCAATATGCGGAATGATCTGGCGTTTGGATTTTGAAGCCGTGTCTGACTCCCCATCACAAGGGTGGCTGCAACCCTGCCTCGACGAGCGGCAGCCCCCCGCCCCCGTGTGTGTGCGTGCATGTTGTCAGTGGGGCAGTGATGAAAACGAATGCCACATTTGTGAACAGAACGTCTGTGGGCTTATTTACCGCGTTTCCAACAACACTGTCTGCTTTATCATGCATTTCAAAGCAGGGGTAATTTAAGAATCCAGAATTTCATACATAAAAATACTTGGTAAGAAAGTCTCTCTCTGCACATTATTTGGGTGATGCTACATCCGAACTCTAATTTGTTGCCCAGGGAATGATTCACTTCACTCAGAGATGGCAGGGAAGGCAAATCTCATTCACCTGTGATGCAAGACGCCTTTGGGGTCGACCAGTCTGCACCTTGCCGACTTCACAATCACCACTTTGCAGAACGCACAGCACTGAGACGACCGGCAGGCCTGGCCTCTTCCACGTGACTCTTGTCCTCACCGGAAAGCACCCTGAGATTCACTCCCACCCGTCCAGGCCCCGCCCCTACCTTTGAGTAGCTTCTCCCCTTCCAGGATATTCTGGGAGATTAAGGCCGTGTAATCTTCTTCCGAGAACCCAGCCTTGCAGGTCTCTCTGGCTGTAAGATCCTCATTGTGGGCCTAAGAATGGAGAATGGAAAGAAGACGGGGTAAAACAAAAATAAGTGCACAGGGGCTTGCTTGCTGGGCAAAAGGTCTCTGGCTGGGAGGAAAAGGCTGATAAACCAGTCTCCACCCAGAGGTGGGATCTGTCGGATTCTCAGGTTTCTGGGGACAGAAAGGACCATTAGCTTAGACTGCAGACTGGGGACCTTCCCCAGCGGGGGCACAGCGGGGTGCGAGCTAAGGAGTCAAGGCCAGTGACAGCAGCCGGCCTGTGGGGCGGGACTGGCACAGGGAAAGCCGAGCCTGTCCAAGAGGCAGAGGCAGACGACTCTGTGTCAGCTCTGAGGGGAGGGGAGACCCAGCGAGCCCGGCCCTCGTCAGAGCCATTCAGGCTTGGGAGCTGGAGCGGCAGCTTGCCGAGTCTGCTGTCTGTGGTCACCCCCGAGCGGAGAAGCTGTTCCAGCGACAGAGCCCGGCAAGGAAGGCTGCTCGGCAGGAGGCTGCGGGCAGGCTGCCCCCCAGCCTTCTCCCCTTGTCCCGGGCACTTGTGCACCTCGCAGCCCCCAGCTGCAGCCCAGCCCGGCGACAGAGCTCCCCTGACTGACTAGCAAGGGTGAGCGTCCTCCGGTCCTGGGGAGCTCGCCGGTCTTCCCTGACCAGTCGGGAAGCCTAGGGTCCACGGCACAAGGACCAAGGATGGGAGGATGGGGTGGACGACAGGGCCCCCCCCCAAGCTCTGGCAGTGGGTGCCGCCGACGAGCAGGGCGCGGGGCTGCGGGGTGAGGGAGACAGTGCAGCAGCCGGGAAGCCTGCCCCGCCGCGGGAGAAGGAGCACAGCGGCAGGGCGCCCCAGCCAGAGCGAGCCAGGGAGCCCGGGCACAGCCCGCACCCGCAGTCTTGCCCGGTGGGGCCGCCGTGGGGCCGCCGGAGCAGAACCTGCCTCCCGCGGGCGCCTCCTCCCGCCCTGTGCGCCGCCGCCCGCGCGGCTTCGGCTGAGGAGGCTGCCCGGCGGGGGCTACAGGCCGCCCAACGCGGGCGGCGGAGGCGGGCGCACCTCCGCCCCAAAGCACCAAGGGGCAGAGCGAGTGGGATGCGGGTCATTCCTTGGAGGAAAAGGGCCAAACCGCGGCTGCTTTCCCCGAGAACACAGCCCCAAATAGCGCCCGCAGCCCGGGGGAGGCTAAACTCGTCCAGGAAAGTTTCAGCCCGCCCCGGGCCCGGTGTCCAGCGCATCCGTGAGCGCCCCGCGGCCTCGGAGCCGGCCTCCCGCCGCCCACTTGTTTATTTCCGAGGTTACCACAGCGCGGCCCGGAGGAGGCAGCGAGGCCGATCGGCCACGAGAGGGGGTCCCTGCAACTCCTGCCGCCCGTCCGCCCCCGCCCCCGCCCAGGGCGCCCCCAGAGCAGCCGCGCACGCTGCCCCCGCGGGCCCTGCGCCTCGCCCGGCGCACAGCGAGGCTGGGATCCGGCCCGCGGGGCTCCGCAGGAAGAAAGCGGGCGCCCGCCTCAGGCTCCCGGGGCGCGCCCTCGCCCTGCGCCCGCCGGGTGCCCGGCATCCCGGCCCCGCTCGGAGCCGCCAGGCCCCGCGAGACACACGGGCTCCAGCCCGCGCCTCAGGCTTGGCGGCGAGAGAGCCCTGCGGTCCACATCCGCCGCCCACCCGCAGCGACGGTCCCGCCGGCAACCAAGGACTGAAGCGGCACTGAGCAGTGGACCCCAGCCCCAAAGGGAGCGGCCAGTCCGGGAGCCCCCACGCCCCGACCCCCGACCCGCTGCCTCCAGCTCCGCTCGCCCGCAGCCACGGCCCGGGCTGGGCTCGTCGACTCCGGAGGCGCGCGGCTCCGGGCGATGGAGGGCGCGCCGGCTCCGCCAGTGGGCAGCCTGCCCCTGGCCGGCGAGCCGAGCTCCGGGCAGCGGCCGCGGCTTGGAGCGGCCGAAGGATGCTCGGCGGGTCCCTGCGCGGGCAGAGCTCTCTGGGTCCCCCACACAGCCGCACTCCCGCCCGGCTCCGCACCGCCGCTCCGCGCCGCCCGGGCGCCTGCCGCCGACCGCAGGCAGCTTCTCCGGGCGCGGCGCCGGGCTGAAGCAGCGGCGACCGCGGCGGGGGCGCCCGGCGCGGGCCAGGGAAGCTCGGGAGAGCCCAGCGGGAGTGTGCGCGCCCCTCCGGCTCGGAGGGCGGCCCCGCGCTGCCCCGGGCTCCCGAACGGCCGCGCCGGGAGGCGGCAACTTACCCGGAGCGCACCGGAGAGCGAGAGCAGCACCAGCAGCACGCCGGAGCCCGCGGTCATCTTCCCGCCGCGCCCGCGCCGGGCCCGCCCGGCGCCGGAGCCCGCTCCCGCCGCCCGCTCCGATCCCCGCCGCGCCGTCCGCGCGCCGGCCCCGATCCTCCAGCCCGGCTGCGCCCGCCTCGCTCGCCGCCTCGGCTCCGGGAGCGAGGCCAAGTCCGGCCGGCGGCGCGCTCCCTCCGGCCGGTGCGTCCGCCGGCCTCGCAGCCGCCCGCGCCTCTGTTCCGCGCGCTCCGAACTGCAGGTGAAGCCGCGGGGCGGCCCCGCCAAGGCCCCGCCCCGCGGCCCGGCCCCTGCGCTCCCGGCTGACGCGGGCCTTAAAGGCGCCGCGCCCGCGCTCCCGCCTCTGCTTCCCTGCCCTCTGGGCCTCTATAGCAGGGTTTGGGCCACAGGGCCAAGGGCATTCAGTGTCGGGGCGGGGCGCAGCGAGAGGCAGGGCGCAGAGGTTGGAGAAGGCACTGAGGTTCCCGCCCCAAATCCAGGGCACCCTTCTGCATCGGATGCTCCGCTGTCCTAGTCCAGCCCCTGCCCAGCTGGGGTGGGAGTGGGCACCTCCATTCTGCTCCTTATTTTCCAAGTGTCCTCTTACCCCTGACACAGGCCAGCCTGAGGGCCTCAAACCCAGGTTGGGCAGCTCAGGGGGCATAGCCAACTCAAGAGACCACAGAGGAGAGAGGACCCAGGCCCAGACTTCAGCCTGCAGGGCTTCGCCCCCCTCCTGCTATGGAAGGCTGGGGTCTGGGCCTGTCTCTGATGTGCGGGCACTGATTCCTGTGTGTGCATCAGAACCCACTGTGAGGCCTGGGAAGCCAAGAGAGAAATTCTCAGCTCTAGGACTGGAGGAACTTCACAGATGGAAGAGCTGTCAGGAGGAGGGGCTGGATGTGTGTGCTCTGCAGGGGCTTTCTGAACTGGGGGGCTACTTCCTTACAGTATTATTAAGTGTGTGTGTGTGTGTGTGTGTGTGTGTGTGTGTGTGTGTGTGTACCGCTTGGAAGGTGAGTAAATGTTTCCGCATGTTTCCTTTTGGCTTGGGGATTTAAAGAAAAGTGGTTTTGTTTGCTCAGGTATTTCAAAATTTCTTTGTCTTGCTTTGGAAGAGCTCTGTGTCCAGAATACATTAGTTCTGGTTTGAGAAATGCATTGGAAAGGCAGAGGAAGAAGGCTGAGTGGCACTGTAGGCTTCAAGTTCAGACTCAGGCAGCACCTCCCTGTGTTTCTCCCAGAACCTTCGCGCTTGGGGGCAGGGTGGTCTGCTGGCCTGGGTTCTGCCTTGCACTTAAGGAGATCAGATTTTGGATAACCCAAGAAGAGCAGAGAAAGCTGTATATCCGAGAGCACGAGGCAGGATTTGGTTTCTCAGCTGCAGCTTTGGGACTCCTGGATGGGAAGTGACATCTGCACCCACCTGCCTCTCCTCCCCCCAGTCTCGTCCCTTTCCCACCTGGCGGGAGAAGAGGTCACACTTTCCACGGCCTGGTTTGCTGCGGTGTTCGGACGTGTGAGTCCTGCGAAGGCAGGGAGTTCCTGTGTGAGCCCACCCGGAATCCACACGGGGGTGGGGCGACTCCACTCCTCAGGCACGTGCCCGCACCTGCTTCTCTCCTTGGTCAAGGTGCTTCGTCACTGCCCAGGGGACAACAGGAGCTGCCCACGCCTGCTTTGGACACTGAGACCCCTCGGCAGCCTTGTGTCCCTCGCCTAGTATCTTGAAAAGGCCATTGCAGGGGCCACGCCTTTGTCTGAAAACGACCTGAGCATCATGCAAATGGTTTCTTGGGAGAGGCGACGCACATCCCAGCGTTTGCTCTAATGTGCTCCGGGAAACTACTCAAGTGCTGACAAGCATGCACATCTCAAAATAAAAAAGATGGGGGGTGGGCAGGACAGGTGGGTCCTGAGGTCCAAACACTGGTTAAACATGTCTTCCTCTACTCTCGAATGTCTGAGTCTTGACTCAACTAAAGCGCATGGTGACTTCCAGACAGGGTAAATTCTGACAATAACCAACCCTTATGAGGTGCTAGCTGTGTACCTGGCATAGCCGTGGAGGCTCTGTGTAAATCAACCCCTGGAATCCTCCTAACTCCATGAAGTGGGTTTGTTATCACCCGGCCATGCAGTTAGGTGGAGGCAGGTGGAGAGGTCGGGCGCAGGTGCCGGCTTTCTAACTCAAGCCCAGGGGCCTTGGCGTGTGCAGCGTTGCCCAAACTCGTTTGTTCAAGGAGGCCTTCCTTTGCAGTATAAATGCCTTACAGGAACTTGCATTTTCAGGAATACAGTTCTGGAAGCACTGCAGTAGCTGATGCAAGTCCAGCAGGGAGCATTGGTTTATCAGACTTACTCTGAGAAGCAGTGTGGATTCGCCGAGAGGGAAGGGAAAACATGATCTAAAATACCAAGCAGTGCTTTCAAAGGGTGGTCCACAGCCTGGTCTCTCCCAGTGTGGCCCCCAGGCCACATGCCTATGGGGGCTTGTTAAAAATACAGACTCCAGGCCCCAGACCTCCTGTATTGACTCTGCCTGTTAAGGGGATTCCTAGCCACACCTACCTCTGGCCTTGTCGTTTGCATCAAAGCCATGGAAAGGGCAGATTCCTGGGCTCCACCTGAGACCCACAGACTTGGAGCTTTGGGGAATGAGGCCTGAGACCCGGCCTTTCACCAGCCTCTTTTGTCGGTGTCTGTGCACGCTAGCATTTGAGAACCGCCAGCCCAGCCCACCGCCGGTACCCCCCAGGTGAGGACCTGCAGCAGCCAGGAGCATCAGAAAAATGCTACTTCCTGGGCCGCCTCCTGGACCTGCAGGGTCTGGGCCTCCGGGAGTGCAGCCTGGGCCTCCGCCTGGGGGAGCTGACAGGGGCACAGGGCAGGGGGCTCACCTGCCAAGCCCCGCCCTGCATGGGGAGAGAGGGCGGCAATGGGGCCGCTGGAGGGGCTGTTCTCTCTGCAGGCTGGTGAAAGAGCCCTAGAGAAAAGTGTGCTTTTGTTTCTAAGAGAGATTAAGAAAATGCATCGGGGTGACTATTTGCTCTCCACACCTGGAAACTGTTGACTGTAATTGGGCTACAGATGTTTGCTACGCCTAGTCTCCCTCTTTCGGAGGGGGTCCGGGGAAGGGCTCGTCTTCAGAACCAAAGCAAATGCCTGCATCGCCCTGTCTCACTGTCAGATGGTAATTTGTTTTCCCCACTATTTATCACAATTTTTTAAAGATACTTCAACGTTAGAGCAAAAAAGCTGCTTGGTGCAGAAAGCAGGGGAGATGTTCGCCGAAGATTTGCTCACGGAATGAAACCATATCTTTGTGGGGGACTGAAGACGTTCGTGGCGCTGCGGGAATGGATGAAACCCGCCTGACTCCGGCTGCAGAGAACCTGCCGCCTGGAACAGAGAGGAGCGGCAGGGAGAGACGGGGAGACTGAGACGTCGCGAGCAAGAGCAAGACGGGGCCTGTCGCTCCCTTCCTCCCGTCCTGGCAACGCTGGCCGCTGAAGCAGAGTGACACCGGGGACAAAGGAGAGAATGGCGTTGTCGTCACGACTGTTTTCATTTTTACCACCGTCGTCTTTCTCCTTTAACTTGGACCGATGTTCATATCTATTGTGCGCCAGGTCCTGCGTTGACGCTCTTCCAGTCATCGTCTCCTGCCATCGTCGCACAGAAAGACCTGCCCCAGACAGAAGACAGACTAGCCGTGTGGGTAGCCTGTCCTGGGCCACAGGCTGAGACCCGACAGGAGGCCACGTGACCCGGAACCGAGGGGCGTGACCTCGAGGCTCCCCCTTGGTGCAGAGACCAGGGAGATGCTCATGCCCCTCCCCCAGACTTTCTTCTTTCGCTCCCCCAGGCAGAAGCCTGACTCTCCTCCGCCCAGCCGGAAGCACGTGGCCTCCCAGGCTCCCCGCCGTGGCCCCTGCAGTGCCCTCCACGGGCCACCTGCACCTGGCCAGGAGGTCGCCCCGCCCCCTGACTCGCAGGGCCCCTTCTCCTGGGCCACCGAATTGGTCCGGGGCCTTCTCTCCCCTCTCTCTTCACAGTGCAGAGGAGTTCCTGTCTGCGTCTGTCCCCCGGCCACTCCGAGAGCCATGGGGCCGCTCTGCCCAGGGTCCGACCCTCCGGGGCCGCCAGCGGGGGGATGAATAAAGAAACCATACACACCATGGCACAGGAGTCCTTCCTGCGCTCCCCATTACACAGAGGAGGAAACTGAGGCACAAGGAGAGTGGAGCACCCCTAACCACGCTGCCGCCCCCTGTGTTTGCTGGGCTCTGAGGAAGAACCAGGGTGGGATCGGTGCCGAGCAACAAGGTTCCCCCGCAGCCAGCGGCCAGGGCTGGGGGCAGCCGCGTGCAGAGAGGTGGCGCGTGCAGATGAGTTAGCGGTGACGGGCGCTGGGGCGTGAGGACGGCTAGGGCTGTGCCCGAGAGCCGGCAGGTGCAGGGCCCCAGGCTGAGACCTGCAGGCAGCCTTCTTTGTTTAGCACATCGGCTCGTGTGCTCGGATGAGTGAGGGCGGCACAGATGTCAGGCCCAAGACCTCCCCCTCTGTCCAGTCCTGCAGGAAGGAGGCAAAGCCACCGCCCCCGTCCCTGCCGGATCCTCCAAATGCGCCGGTGAACCCATGGCTCCGGCTACGTGCAGGTAGGTGCCACATCTCAGGGGTGAGACAGACTCGGCCGCTGTCCCCCCGGACCTGGGACCCAGGCACCAGGCAGAGGAGCTGGGGGAGCCCTGTGTCTCGAGGGCCCAGCGCGGCCACACCCAACATGCAGCTGCCCTCACTGCCTCCCCCCGTGCCGGGGCGGGACTCACAGCATCAGCCTCAACTTGTGAGTGAGAAAACACAAACACTTCTGGCTCTGCGGCCAGAGAACAGGTGCCGCCCTCTTGCCAGAACTGCGGGGCTCAGCTCCCCGGGGCTGGGGCGGGCATCACCTGCTGTTCCAGGTGAGGCCAGCTGCCCCTCCGAATTTCGCAAAGTCTCCGACTTCTGTTTGCTGTGAACAGTAGACCCTCCTGGGACCAGCCCGCCACC